TATATATACACACATCGAAGTCAGCGCTGTACGAACCTATCGTCAGATTTATTGTAGCTGCTAGGATTCACGAGAAAGAACAAAAACAAGTTTGTTGTTAAACTTTTTGCCACCATTTTATATGTCTTCTTGATTATCCGAACAATTCCCTTCATTATCGCCAATTTATGTTAATCTTGCAACTGTTCATGATCATTTATCACAGTGAAACATTCGAAAAAGTTACACAAGAATTTGGATTAACGATGAGCGTAAAGAAAACGTGTGCAATGATACTACAACAACTGGAGGAAGATCAAAATCGTAGAGCTCTAAAAGATCAAGAAGTGAACCATCCTAATATTGATCTCAACAGTCGCAACCAGACGGTTGAAACGGTAGTTTCCTTCGCTTATTTAGACTGTAATGTCACAAGAGATCAACGACCTGACCAAGAAATAAACACAAGTCTAGCCAATGCTGCCACAGCACTTAACATGTTGAGACGTGTAATTTGGTTTAGAAAGACTGTTTCGCTCACGGCAAGGCTCCGAATTTTCAGAGCATGTATACTTCGGGTGTTACTCTATGGTAGTGAAACATTGTCCATTACCACGGCACACGAACGGAGAATCAACAGCTTTTACATGAAATGCCTAAGGACTATCATCGGAGTCAATTTAGGTGATAAAATGTCAAACGATACACTTTTGGAAATCACTGGACAACCACCAATCGAAAACATCCTTAGAAGAAACAGGTTGAGATGGTTTGGACATGTAAACAGGATGTTAAACAGTGATAACGAATCATCAGTAGTCAAAAAGATCATGTTCTCATACTTGCCTGGCGAGAAACGACCTCGGAATATCGGTATTAGGAAGAGATGGGTGGACTAAATTCAGAATGATATTGAAGTATGTCAAATTAAAAATTGGAGAAGAGAGACTCTGGACAAAGATCACTGGCGGGAAATAATCAATAGAAATATGCAAGTGAGACCCGCAAATGCGAGAATTCAAGATATCATCTATGAATATAAACAACGTGCAGTCAAACGAAGAGGAGAGAAGTTGGCAGCATCACATAGAGTGGTCAAACGAAAAGTTACAGAGGTGTTAATGAAAAATACTAATAATCAGTACAAGTGTCGTGGGTGTGGAAAATATTTCAAACCACAAGGAATTACAAATCATGTAAAAGCACGTCCTGTTGCTAAAGTTGGTGTTCGAAGAACAATATTAAGTGTTAGCAGCAATTTCTGATTGTTAAACACCTACGGGGAACCGATTCGTGGAGTGAGTGATGGGTACTATCTAAATGCTGAGTCATCAGAGGATAGTATTCTGATGTATATCCTGGACTAAGTTTCCGCAGTGATCAACAGACTATTCGTAAAAACTATACATTTAGTTTAAAATGAATGACTGTCAAAATTCTATTCAAAATTTAAGTGATGCTGTTCGACATTTTTGAACTACATGCAAATGCATTCGGAACAATACTATTCTATAATATGGGTAACGTTTATTTTGTTCAACGAGATTGTACCAATGCATTGCGTGCCTAGAATAAAGCTCTTAGTATCTTTTACTTTTTACAATGTGAACAGAGTCAACAGACAACAGTAATTTAATTCATACGGTCTTGTATATGAGCGAATCGTAACTTTTCTGTACAATTACATTATTTACGCATTTTTATACTCATTTCCGTTCCTATGAACCGATTTCTGAAACATTTTTTTATTCTCTTACTTATATTTTGGCTCACTACCACAGAAAATTTCGCAACGATATTTCATCAACTCATTGAGATGCGTGGAAAGTCAAACATACCGGTTTTTTCGATAACTCATCCACAGAAAATGGATCTTTTTTAAGAAAGAAAGAAAGAAAGAAAATGGAAAAAAAAAGTAGCACGTTTGGTAGAGCTACCGATTCTCTATCCAACTGTATAATTTCTTCTGGTTTTGTTTACCTTTTGCTTCTCGTACGTGCACAAAACACTTTTACGCACAAATGAAGCTACAAATCAGAAACGGTTCTCGCGACTTAAGGAAACATTTTTCAGAAAAAATAAAATGATCAAAAAGTAGAGCGTAAAAAATAGTTTAGAAAATTGTTTATAGTTTTCGTACAGAGTCTCTTTCGAATGGCAAAAAAATGTGAAAATGATTTTTTCACGCACTTTGAAGCTACAAATTTTGGAAATTGTTTTTTCTATAAATCTCGCTAAAAATCCGAGATATCCTCAAGACTCGTTCGATTTCACTCAAACTTTTACCATAAATAGCTTACAAGATCTTCTAGAAATGACTAAAATTTCAGCTTTGTATCTTTCTATTTTCTTGTGAAATTTCACATTATACTGCACAAGGAAGCTAGCAAATTTTTGAAGCTACAGATAAACGTGAAATGCTGTAGATAAAACAAATTTCGATCGAAATGTGATTAGCTAGGAGGCAAAAGTTCAGGTCTGTAATTTACGACTTCATAAGATGAGTCCAAGCTTACAGAGAGGTATAGTTGCACAAAATTCAAAAGTTTCTCAGCACTTTTAGGCATATACCCTAAGTGAAAGTGCCTCATTATCAGGTTCTTGGAACAACAACGCGTTTTTTGAGCTTTTCGCACACTTCAATTGTTAATAGTTCAACTGGATTCTCCGTGCTGAGATCTATCTGTTGGTGTATCATACATGTACTTGCACGTGCATTATAGCGCAAAATCTGGTAAAAAGTTTTCTGCGTCAAAGAACGCAAGTTGTTTCTCGGATATCTCAGCCAAAATGAGTCCGGTAGTTGGGAAATTTTTACCACAGATTCATTAAACGATGGAGAATTAGATGTACGTTTCAGATTTTTTCTAGATATGCTTTCGTTTTTTTAGCAATTGTACGAAAAAATTACGATTCGCTCATATACTTTCAAACGAGATATAAAACAACAATTAAATGGTACAAAGAAGCAATTGAAATTAGTTTGAAATTGGATGATCCGTCTGTTGAATTGTACAAAAATAATTTCGAGTACGCCAACGAATTTTTGAAAGAGAGTGAAAGTGGTAGCTGTGCTGCGTATTTTTACGCCTTTATATTTGTCAATGAGAAATATTTTATTTGTTGTTGTGGGTGGAGAATATGACAAATTATTTCGGATTCCGTTGCTTTGCTTGAGAAGTAAAAATGTATGGTAGACATCAACACCAACTATTGTTTCCATGTTCATCATTTTTCATTTACATTAAATAAACCAATCTTTTTCTCAACTATTTTATTATTCTTGTAAGATAGGAAGAATGTTATGTTATTTTATGCTTTCATTTCACTGTATTATCTCTCAACTGATAGAATAATTACGGTGTAGAATAATACTACGGACATTCTTTTCCATGCAGCAACGGATGGACCCCGTATTATTCGGCGAATTTAAAAATTCGTGTATCTGAATAATAAGCATTGATTCGCAGAAGTCGCATCTCTGTAGCTCTTTCTGTTTTCAAGTTGTTCAAAAAAACATCCATATATCATTTTTTTGGATAGCCAGTAGTCCTTTTCTTGTATCGTTTGATATTCATTCTGTGTTGGATAGACATCTTTTCTCTTCTTTGGCTACTTCATGCTGAGGACTATCTGTTCATTCACGACGTTTCAGAGCAGAGTCGTCAAATCTACTGAAGATCGTATTACCTTATTGTTTTAAATATTAATTTTTACTATTATCCCGATATTCTGCTTAGACAACAAAGGCTGGTATAAACTGGTATTTGAGATTGAAAGAAGATCTTAAAAGAAATCGAAATCGCGGTGCAATAGATTAGATTATATCAATTTGTAAACGTCTTAAAGAATAGATTAATGGGGAATATAATAATAGACATACAAAATAAGAAAGAAAAAGAATAAGAGATTGATAACTGGTACAAGAAATATGATTAAAGAAATTTATAAAACATGTTGAAGAGTAGATGAGTAATTGTTTATCTTTAGGTGATCAAATGATCCTGCGGGTGAGAGCGAGACGCCTTTTAAAGGACAGATTAATGAAAAGGAAGGCATCAGCTTTAGTATCAAAGCAACCATCATTTGGACTTTTGAAAATAATTAGAAATTAATGCAAACTAACTTAAAAAGCCGCATATTAATTTAGTGCGTATTGGTTTTTTTCTGATTAAAAATCAATGCGCACTACAAACAAACATTGTCACGATGATGAGCACGATCTATTACCTAAGTTCCATGTCAATTTGGGGTTCCTAGATGTGCCTGGACTAACACAGATGAGTCCTTCGAAAACCTCTGTATCCCCCGAACGGCGAGAGATGGAGACGAGAAAGTTGCGTAGAACGAAAGATCTCCATCCTGTGCATCGAATTCATCATTTAAAAATCAAAATCAACATTTTTCGTACTGATTGGTGATCGTTAGCAAAATGTCGAGACAAGGTTTAGCACCTGCAGGCCACATTTTCCGTCTTCTTTTTTCAGAATTTGATTACTCGGACATCTGTCTTTTCAAAACTAAAAACTGTAGGTCTCTATCTCTTTTCTATAAAAAGTTATTAAACAAATGATGGAGTCTCTTCTATTTTGAAATGAATAGTACTTAATTACTGTCTCGACCTCTCGTCTTACCGTTGCTAACTGCTTCTGTTTGTTACACATCAAGTCTTCTGTTGTTTCTCTACTCTGTAACTATTGTTGTCAAATGTAATGGTTGCTGTGTATTCACAGGTCAACCTATAACTCTATTTTTGATCTGTTACCACTGTATACAACAACTCTGTATGAGTGTACACACCTCAACGTCCAACAAGTAACCAAAATAATCTCTCTATAGATGTTCTCTTTAAAAACAAAATAACAAATAAAAACCATAGAAAAGTGACGAGGACGTTTGTACGCGAGCCTCTAGGATCAACAACAAACAAAAAACGTTTTGTCTTATAAAAATAAAAGAACAGGAAAGAAGAAAATCTTATAAATTAATAAGAGATTTGTTTCACTATTAAAAAATTCATTTACAACTTTCTATCGATTCTTCATTTATCTTACAAAGAGAGAAACTAAACAGAAAGATTGAATGGCAACATTATTAGAGTATGGAGGTACGTCCCTATGAAAAACGTGTTGTTCTTTTGGTTTAGAGAACACATTATCAGAAATAATGGAAAACGAACCTATTTAGCAAAAATTCGTGATAAACATATGCAACATGAACAAACTGAATGAGGTTTTTCCACACCTTAATGATAAAGTTGTTTTAAAAGAAGATAAACAATTAGATTTAATAAATCTTATTGAAGACTTTAAAGGACAACAACATTACCAGATCTATTATGACCAACGTAATCAATGAAAAATAATTTCAATTGAAATTGAACCAGAATTACAAAAGTATACGACGACAATGGAAAGCTATAAAGATTTTATAGAATAAAAATGGTTGTTGAAACCATCATACAAGCATAAAGGGAAAGGCCCCTAACGTTTTTTCAGGTTTCCCTCACTCTCACTCCTCACCTTTCTCCATGTGAAATTGCCCAAACTGATTATCAAATCTAACTATGAGCACACGAATCATCTGCATTGCTTTCAACTCAGAGTTGTTTTCAAATTTGCTATTTGCCCAAAAAAACGCAGTGGAAAAGACGGAGGACGATAAGAGCCAAAATCAGCCCACGTTCAAATTAGTGTTATGTTAACCCATTCGATGTAGTTTTTGTTCGCGATTAACCCTAACATATTTTTGGACCTTAAAAATCCTTTTTAGCACCTCTGGAAACATTTTAGCAGCAAAAAAACCCTTTCCTCGTTAAATGACCTTTACTCAAAGTATTTTCATCATTCACCTCTACAATAAATATCAACTATTATACACCGTTCGATAGAGAATTTCATGGCTATAAAACGAGATGTCACATCATTACAAAAAATGTAACCCAGTGGTCTACGATCCGAAATACTCGGTACTATCTCAGCAAACCGTTAGGTCACCTTTGTTCATGTTTAAAATAATAAGCTATTTTCTCGTTAACCTGATAGAGTATAGAATTCTGAGAACGGTAAGGCATCTCTCAGTGGTCTACAATGCTTTTTCAGTCAACTGTAGTCTATTTAGGAATGATTAGAAAGGGCGTGGGAACTATCCAGAAAACTCTGGTGAAAAGCATTATAGAATCCCGGGAGATGTCTTACCGTTCTCAGAATTCTATGCGCTATCAGGCTATGCGGTTTACAAAATTTTCTGACTAAAAATCGAGGAC